ATCACCCTTTCATTCAAATCAGGCGTGTTGGAGCAGAGGAACAACTACAAACATGCAGGACGGTGTTCCTCAGGGACCAGGGTTAGGAACCCTTAGGTTGTTGTGAATGACTCTCAGCTACTACCACAATAAATTGTAGGTCACTATCTGTAAATTTGGCTGAGTTTTAGCCATTTTTGTGTTTTTTGAAATTTGGTTGGATGTGACGGCCGTCTTAAAATCGGGCTGACTAAATGTTAACACGCTGTCGAAGTACAGCTAATGATCGTTTCCGGAAGGTTTTGCTACAATCCCTCCAGTGGGTTGTGGTATATTTTGCTAACAGACAAGAGTTGACCATAAATAGTTAACAGCAAAAATGTAAACGAAGATCTTAAGACAGTCCGTTAAAGCTCAGGGTATGTGTTGGGGATCACTCTCTGATACTACCACACAGTTTTAGGCTAACTGCTAAAGTGCCTGAACTACAGCCATTTATGTGTTTTTAAAAGTCGGTTGGCTGTGGCAGCCATCTTGAATCAGCTCCACAGGTTAATCAGTTGTAGATGCACATCCGGTAAATGCACACTGCGAGTTCAATCGAAATTCGTCGAGCGGTTTATGAGATATTTTGCTAACACGACAGACATGCGCAAAAACACCATTACCCGCCACGAGGCACTACAAAGACAGATCCTGGTTTAGACGGACAACAAGTTTCACTTTGTTCAAACTTAACCTGAGTGGACACGACCAGAACCAGAACCTTCTGAACAAACAGGAGGCTAAAGGCGCAGAACGACAAAACGTCACATTAGTTAATTAAATAGCATTTAGTCGACTTATTTGAGTTTCGTGCCTCTGGGGTTTATTTTTAAGTAACCAGAACACGAAGACATAAACTTACAATAACTTTGAATCGCAGCACAATCTAAGAACTGTTCATTTCTATCGTTTTTCAGTTAGTCCAGCAGCTTACCTGTGTGATGACGGCTGTCATCACAGTGAAGTAGATCAGAAACACCATGGTTAGCATAAAAAGTGCCTACAAAGTCAAGTTAAAACAGAAACTCCCCGCAGCAACACGCCGAACGATTCTTACTCTTGAATTGTTTCATACTGATTTCATAAAACTCTTTACTTTGGACCTTCGTCCTTTAACGCTGAAGATCTAAACTCTACTTTATAGCTGGGTTCTCTACTAGGCCACACCCCAAAATGGGCGTGGTTACATACTGATGGGTGGGGTTTCGAATGAACGCACTAATTCATCATAAAATCCCGAAGCTGCTGTGTATTTGTTTTATCAGTTAAACATTAAGAAGTAGAAGCCGCTTTCAAGTTCATTCCTGCCTTCATGCCCGCCGCCCTTCTGACACCAAATTGAATATATTCATTCAGCGAAGTGATACAACAAAGTCCATGCTCAATAATCCAGGTATACAATCCAACATTTTTCAGTCAGGTCATCTGGACAGTTTTTTTTTTTTTTTTTTTGCTGAAGCGTTTCACCTTCCATCCAGAAGGCTTCATCAGTCAAGGAAATACACAACACAAAACTTCCTGATGCATGCTCAATAATCCAGGTAGAAAAATAAAAAAAAGTTCAATCTGGTCCTCTGGACATTCAAAAAAACAAAACAAAAAAAAAAAACAAAGCAAAAAAAAAAAAAAATGTAGAAACGTTTCATCTCTCATCCGAAAGACTTCCTCAGTCTGAGGTGCTGTATTCTGCTCAGTCTCTTAAATAGCACCTTCTCAGAGTGGATCAACCAGTTTGCTGCTGACAACCAAAACCAGCTGCTCACATGCTCAAGAAGAACCATCAGCCTAACAATGGATCATTAGCACCTGATGGCTGTTTACTATTCACAGGGGGTTGAGTGATACTAGCAATAACAGCATTGTAAGAGGGGGGACAACACAAAACTGATTCTTCCCCCAAACAGCTTACTCCAAAGTGGAACAAACCAGTTATGTTGGTGCTTAGATGGACTCTTTGGCACGCCCCCTCCTCTTGTGCCGGCCCTCTTCCTCGTCGACAGTCATGTCAAACTGGTTCAAAACCAAAAAAGTGTGTTTCCTTGACTGATGAAGCCTTCCGGATGGAAGGTGAAATGTTTCAGCACAAAAAGAAACTGTCCAGATGACCTGACTGAAAATTGTTGGATACAGGCTAACGTTCCACCTCAGATGGGAAGCAGTTTCAATTCAATTCAATTTCAATTCAGTTTATTTATATAGTGCCAAGTCACAACGTAAATCATCTCAGGATACTGAACAGAAACATTAATATATACAAAAATAATAATTTAACACTATTTATCTGAGGAGCAGACTGTTTTGACTAACTCCATCACAGACTCTCATCTTGAGCAAACATGGAGGCGATGGTGGAAAGGAAAATCTTACTCATGAGGAAGAAACCTTTATCAGAACCAGGCTCAGGACAAGCGGCCATCTGCTTCAACTGGATGGGTTTGAGAGGACAGGAAGGAGGAACAGATACACAATGGCAGGTCGAGAATCACATAAGAAGATAGAAATAGTATCAAAAGAAAACACAAAGTTTGTTTTCTCAGTCATCCAGGTATATAACAACAAAAAAGGTTGAATCATGTCATCTGGACTTCGTTTTTTT